CACGCGCCAAAATGGCGCTTGTTTTACTACACAGCGCCCCCTAGCGTACGACGCCACCGACGAACACACGATGACCAACGTCTTCGTGTGACGTCATTTCTATTTTCTCGCGCACTCGCACATCGAGGTTTCGTTTTCGAGCGCCAGCCGCCACCGCCTTGCGGGTATCATACTTCTTACCGGCAAACCGTGAATCATCCACTGGCTGCGTCCGTTGTCTGTCTGTCTGTTTGACGCACCGACGGACGCACGGATGGATGGACGGATGCACGAACGCATGGATGGACGTACACATGGACAAACGAAGGAACGGACGCATGGACGGATGGATGGATGGACGCACAGATGGACGCATGGACGAACGCAGGCAAGGACGCATGGACGGACAGACGGATGCATGAACGGATGCACGAATGGATGGTGGCCTGGATGGACGGAAGCAAGAACGAACGGACGGCCGGAAGCACGGACGAAATGACGGACGCTTCGCCCCACTCATCATCATTCACTCCATGGATGTGCTGTGATTTTTATTATTTATCATAGTACAAGTAACATCCTCTAGTATCGTACCATTTGCTTTTTGCAGTGTATATGCATTTCATTAAATGTACAAGTACCGGCCTCTACGGCTTGTTCAAGAACAAACGAGAGGTGGCTACATACGATTATGACGGGACGCTCAGCCCACGCCTTAAGGAGCTTCGCTCTTAAAAGAACAGGGTGTTTCACTAAGCAGGACTTATCATGGCTGTCTACCTAGCGCTGAAGAAAAAGCAAGGTGTAGAAAGTTTACCAAAAAAAGTCCCCTTCTCATCTGTCCAACACATATAGTAACAGTTCTATGGTCTATCGCTTAGTGTAGTAGGCCATGGTGTCAAGACGTTTTAAATTCGAAGTGTTTCTTGCTTAACCAGACACACTGTGAGCGTATCTATCTATCTATCTATCTATCTATCTATCTATCTATCTATCTATCTATCTATCTATCTATCTATCTATCTATCTATCTATCTATCTATCTATCTATCTATCTATCTATCTATCTATCTATCTATCTGTCTGTCTATCTGTCTGTCTGTCTGTCTGTCTGTCTGTCTGTCTGTCTGTCTGTCTGTCTGTCCGTCTGTCCGTCTGTCCGTCTGTCCGTCTGTCTGTCCGTCTGTCCGTCTGTCTGTCTGTCTGTCTGTCTGTCTGTCTGTCTGTCTGTCTGTCTGTCTGTCTGTCTGTCTGTCTGTCTGTCTGCAGCCACGTCTGGGTGCTCTCACAGCCACCTCATTTAAGAGACCCTGAAATGAGTTTCAAAATTTTGTCAGCCTTCAGGCTATAATATCTTCATAATATCAACACGATAGCTTCAGTGATGCGCCATGTGTGAAGGCAATGACGTGCCGTTAGAAGTGACCATCCTTCCTAACCCTGCCAACAGGTAAAAAATGAGTGTCCCACACTCGCCGCAATAGCAACAGGCGGCACTGACTGATGCTACCACGGGTAAATCCACATATATACTCCATAAAGAGGACGGGGGAATAGTTCATAGAGCATGAGACACATTATTCGAAAAGCCTCAGGTTCCATCTGTGCCTACAGCACGATATGTTTTCATCTGCTTTTCTTTCTTCACAATTACATTACGATTACTTCTGATTGATTTTGATTTGATTGATATGTGGGGTTTAACGTCCCAAAGCCACCATATGAATATGAGAGACGCGGTAGTGAAGAGTTCTAAAACGTTCAACCACCTGGGGCTATAACGTTCACCGAAATCTGAGCACACTGGCCCACAGCAATTTCGCCACCACCTAAAATGCAGTCGCCGCCGCTGGGATTCGTCCCCGCGACCTGCGGGTCAGCAGCCAAGTACCTTAGCCACTAGACCACTGCGGCGGTGCGTTTTACTTCTTATAACGTCTCCTATACTTTCCTTTGCATAATTGTCTGTCAGTTCTCATTGATGCTGTGTCTAACAAAAAAAATGAACACTTAAATTTACCCTTATTTCCTTCTCTGCAGTAGTCCAGAATTTAAGCTTATCGAGTAGCACTATAAAATACAAAGTGTGGACTAAGTGGTTGAGGGATGTTTTATAAGGACAAGATATCGCTATCGCGTTAAACTCTTGAAAGTGAAGCGAATCCCCCATGTTTTTCGGCCTCCCGACGCCATGTCGTACAGTGTGCATGTTAGCAGACTTGAGTCAGTATCTATTGATGTTGCCGGAACACATTATACGGAGTGGCGCATCCAGCGTATAGGTGCTTGCCTGTAGCCTTCTCCAAGTGACTGTTCGCTCTGTATTTCGGGAGCAAGAGACGTGCCGCTGCTTCCTGCAGGGGGCGAGCATTTCAGAGTTTTCCCTCGGTATTCAGTCCTCTGCGCTTCCGAAGTTCGATTATAGCTGCTGAGTAGCCGGTCCAGTGCATAAGAAAACGCCAATTTTTATACGAAGAAACAAAACGTTTTTGAAGATGATCGTTTGTAAGCGTAAATTCCCGCGTTACGGTTCTGTTTTCTGGGCAGTAGTCAAAGCCGCTGACGCGTGGATCACGGCGTTAACAACATCGTGAGAGGCCGACGCCCACTGCATAGACGAGCTGAAGCTACTCCGTTCGCCAACTGCCTTGCATGCCCTGCACGATGCCGCAGGCTTACAAGTCACCAGTTGCTAGATTTGCAGCACACAATTCAGCCAGGGCGATTCATGGTGTCCAAGAAAAGAAACTTCACGATAAACACTTTCGCACAGCTCATGTCGACACGAATCACATTGTAACACAATCAGAAGGAGTCCATTGTCCACCGTACGTTCAGAGACGTAGAATGGACATATTAAATCAGATAGGTAATGGGCGGGACGTATATATGGACATTTCTAGTTAGAATGCAACAGGGAAATTAAAAACTCGTGGCTGAGTCGCTGCGATATGCAGAAATTTGCATGTGTAAACCTTTGTAACAAATTACGCACTTGACTCAAATAGCTTAAACTGGTTTGCAAAGGATGTTTACGACTTGTTTTAGAACTCTACGTGCTTGTGCAAAATCTTCAAAAATGTCCCAGAGTCCCTTTAGCTTTGTAAAAGAGATAAGCGTATGATGAATATGATGGACAGGTCATGACATGAACAGCATGACATGCCTGTCGAGTACATAATGAATGTATTTTTCCTTTCACACTGCCTTCGCTTATGATTTGTAATATTATCGGGCGTTTTACGTCCTGTGATTATAAGGGACGCCTTATATAGAGGAGTGCTCCGGAAGTTTTGTTCATCTGGCTTTCTTTAACGTGATTTGGCACTGCGCAGTAGACGGGCCTCTGGCCTCCACCGAAATGCGACTTCCGCTGCCGAGATCGAACTCGTGACTTTGCAATCAGCAGCAGACCACCGTGTGCGCACGTCCTTCATGTAAAATACCGTCTAGGGATATTTAGGAATAATGAAGTGGTACGGTGTGATCCCGCATTCAAAACTGCGTAATGTTCCATGGGCGCGCACGTATCACCAAGAAAGTTCTGCGTCGCGTGTCATACTGTGCACTTATGTGATGCGAATCGGCTTCGTGGCACTTGTAGCGTACGTAAACAACAGGAAGAAATGAAGACATGCAGACAGACAGAGTGCTACAAGGAAACTTACTGAAGATGAGCTACCAACAAGCCCGCACCACCTCTCTCGTGAGCTAATTATACACTACACTACAATATCTTCTGCCATGGCATGCTTTCTTGCACATGTCACTTCGTCAGCATTTCTGATTTGTTTCAAGCACTGCTCGTCAGGTATATTTAAAAAAAAAAACGGAAACCACACACCTGCACCGAACGCTACAAGGACCACGTTCTTAATGGCGCGCTTCCTATACCTATACCGTGTTGCCCATGAAATACATTTGAAATGGTTCACGTCTATTTGAGTTAGTTATAGGCGCGTGAGAGCGTCTATTAGAAATAGTATGGGCGTATAAGTGGAGTTTCCCATAGCCACTATCATCCTGTTGACGCATGTCCTTTTAGGCTGGCAAAAGGTAAGTTGAGAAAAGACGTTTTGCTTATAGTTACATTATTTATTAACCACATCAGCAGCGAGTAGTCGCACCTGTAGCCAGTAGTGACACGTTTATGAGCCAGCTAATGTAGTCGGTAGCATACACGATTTGTGGTGCACGTCGTACGGTCAACAAGAAGTACTTGAGCAAAACATGTTCACCGCAATTTGGCAGCATACTCCTTTAAAGAAAGCACGCAAATTTGTTGCTTGGGTAGCAAAGCCACTTGTCAATTAGGGTGCATTGTCGTAGTGTCGGATGCTACGCGACAGACCACCACTGACGACTTGCAGTGTACTGACGGTAATCTATGTTCACACCGGCAAGTGCGACTTGACCATCGCCACAGAAGTATTTCATGGTTTCTTTCGTTCACGTTTGCACACGTTAAAGTCGGCAAGTGAAACCAAGCCGCGTTCACATTGACGCATTCTGCGTTCAGAGTGGCGCGGAATCAACCTCAGCGACGGCGAGATCCGCCGGCCACTTCCGCACAGATCACCGGCATACCGCTGACGTGGACCAATGAGAAAATGAGTTAGAAATTGAAAATGTTAGCCTCGCTGCTTATCGACATTGTTCTAACGTAGAGAACGCGGTTGACGGGGCATAGTGCTTAGGCACGCACTTTGAGTCCTAATGTGCTGTGTTTATCTCTCTTCCCTCTCTCCTCTCCATCTTTCATCTCCTCCATCCCCCCTCCCACGCGCAGGGTAGCAAACCGGCTGCCTATAGGCTGGTTAACCTCCCTGCCGTTCTTTTCCTGCAACTTTCCTCGAGTCCTGAGGTGGTGCAGGGGTGTAAGATTGACGGGTACTACATCGTTAGAGTGGAACGCTTGTCGCGTTGTGTGAAATTACCTTCAGTTCTGTTTCATTCTTGGTGGGCATTTTAACGTCTCCCAGTGATATGCATGCCTTTAACTTTTGCTTACTTTTCTGCAGATTGCGCCATATATTCAAGACAACATGCTGGAGCTTGCCGTTGCCGCCTTGCTTCTATTCATCGTGCACTGGCTCATGTGAGTAGAAAATCCACAGAGAAAGAGATCCGCTGGTGATCAAATAAAAGCAGCCGACGGCTGCGCAGAAGTGTAAAGTGGTGTGATATGAATTGTAGTGTTGCCATAAATCGCCGCAAAATATAATTACCAGTCACTAACAGCTCGTAAAAGACGTAGTCCATGTTTTTTAACTTATATTTCTCGTTAGTACCTCTTGTTAAAGAGATATAGTCCTGCTCGATGACATTAGCGCACTCTTTCAACGTAATGCTTGACGCGAAGTTCCGCCGCAGCGCACCAACTTCCTCGCTGTCCAGCCTCTCATCGAGACCCTTTCCCACTGAGACCCTTACAGCAGAGTGACGAGTTTCGCTTATAACGTTGATTCGAACTTTTTTTTTCCTCCACGTCTTTCCTACAGTTTTCCAATCGCTTGTCGCCTTGTTTTGGGGCTTATTTACCTTTTTTTCAGCAAGTACAGTAACTTTAGTGATCGTCACGTTCACAAATAGCATGTTAATCGATGAATTGGAGTAGTTTGAGTAGGAGACAATTTCAAAAGTAAATATCTCATTGCGTTCATAGTGGCGCATGTTTTGATTTATTGATTGATACGCGGGGTTTAGCATCCCAAAACCACCATGTGATTATGAAAGACGCCGTAGTGGAGGGCTCCGGAAATTTCGACCACTTGGGGTTCTTTAACGTGCACTCAAATCTGAGCACACGGGCCTACGTTTCTGCCTCCATCGGAAATGCAGCCGTCGCAGCCAGGATTCGATCCCGAGACCTGTGGGTCAGCAGCCGAGTACCTTAGCCCCTAGACCACCACTGCGGGGTAGTTGTGCATATTTCCGTTGTTCAAAATAATCAGTCCTTATTCCAACTCAACTTTTCATCTGAGCGATGTATTTTTATCTTCTTCAGTAACCTTTTCATGAATAAGAAAATTAATTGAAACTTTGCTTCATGTCGGCTTCTTGGCAAAAGTCGCGTCACTTTTTTGGGCTTTCGTTTATTGCGACTATTTGTTTGTGAGCTCAGAAGCATCTGACAACTCTGTCTTACATTCAGAACACAGGGTGGAGACGTGTTATCAGGGGGAAGTGCTCCCACCTCCTGCCCCCTTTCTCTTATGCACAATCACATTCTGCCGCAAACAATTGACTGGTACTCATTCGACACATTTCTTTCTCCGTCCAATCCATCGTCCACCAGCTTTTTTTTTGTCATGATTTGAAGGTAGACGATTCCTCCGCCATTCTAGCGTTTATAATTGTGAATGCAGCGACCAAACGCGATCGAAAGTTCTGATAAAATTTTGAGAGAACACAAAATGGGCGTCTTTTTTGTTGTTGTTTTTCTTGTTCAAGTGTTAAAGCTATCCAAACACCAGAGGGAGACAACACATAAAATATTTTCTTTCGATTTTAAAGTTTTTGTCACGGAGCATTAGCAAGCCAGCCCAGCCGCAAGAGACATCGCGACGAGTCAACAACGTTACACTCAGTTGGTAAACTCTGTGTCCAGCATAAGGAATAGTCGCGGAAATTCCTGGTGAGGTCACGGGAGGACAATGCACTCATTTTTTTTACGTTTACCACAAAAAGATCGCGTGTCTGCCGCTAGTACGTTGGTAGTCGCTGTTTTCCCGTGATGTCACACTGCCATGACACGTCATTGAGAAGCTTCCCCTCGATACCGAAACCAAAAGTTTATTCAGAGTATTGCTATCAAACGTATATTCGGTGCCGTTTCATTCCCACAATACGCCTTGTAAGGTTCTCTTCACTAGTGTTTTCATATTAAGCAACAAAAATATTTAAAATTCGTGTCAGCACTCGAACAAATTCAGCGCTTGTATTTGAAAAAAAAAAAAACACTTTGTCGTTATTCACTTCACTTCGAACGGTCGCAGGAAACGAAGAGATCACTTCAATTTCTTCAAGAAATGCGGCATTCCTGGACCAACACCGAACATAATCTTCGGCAACATCCTGGAGATGTACAAAAAGGTGAGAACGATTGAGCCGGTAATCTTGAGGCAAGGAGGACGGGCCTTCGAAGTGCACCGACCTTCGATACAGTCGTTAGCATAAGAAAGATTGCTTGAAACAGAAACTTCGCGTTCCTATTCCTCATACTGTTACTTCAGATAAAGGGGCTTCATGTAACTTACACCTAATAACTCCCGGAATGGGGGGACATCTCTTGGTGGCGCCATCTCCTAGATGGCGAAAAAAAATCATATCTGGCAAACAAGAAACAATTTACTGAAAATGATTCCCGGTTTTGAATGGAGGAGATTCCACAGGAATGTTTTGGTTAAAGGGTAGTATCGCACAACAAAGCATGTCGATTCTTTTGATAGTTGAGCACCGCCCATTGTAAACACATGGGGCTGCATTGTAAATTACTCAGTCCGCGATTTGTTGTGCGACATGCTGCAATGTTACCAGAATGATACATGCACGGGGTCATTGCTGTATGCAGGCTGCAATTCTTTTTGGTGACAAGCTTATTTCTTGAGGTATGATTGTTCTAAATTGCAGCCGGCTACTACTGCCACCGGCAAGATATATTGCTATGTCAGCAAATTGTGGTTATAGCTGTAAAAAAAAAAACAAACACTTGTGCCTATGAATGCGTTACTTTTTTGATTAATTTCGTTTTACATTGAAGAAGCTTTTGAACAATCCTAAACTACATAACGCTGAGTGATAGGTCAAACACATTGCCGGAAAGTTCACCGTAAATCGTAATAATGTGCTTCAGTAGGACTATTTTCGGGGTTTACTTTTATGAAGAACGATGGCTGTACCCACCCATGTAGGTCTAATGAGGCATAACACGATGTCAAAAATATAGTACGTGACTCATTGCTAGCGCGCCCTACGAAAAACGGCGTATTGGCTCAACACTAAAGAATAACTTGAAGTAAACTGTACTTATAGTGAATACGAAGTAAAGCGTGTTTATAGTGAATACGAAAAGCGTGAAGCAATATGTTCTTGTGAGCTTTGCACGAAGAAAGGCTCACACAGCTGGAACTTGGGGTAAGACTAGGAGCTACACTTAGAAGCAGAGTGCGCAGAACTTCTGCAGCGGTGAGGAGCAGCATGTGCGATGTCGTGTTCACGACGTATAATTTTACGTTGAGCACAGCTTTCGGTCAACATTAGTCCCGTGGAATGCACTTGAAATGCGCTCGAACTTTTATGTAGGGATTTACAAAAAAAAAGATTAATGAATGTCGGCACTTGAAAAGAGAAACGTAAGAAACGTAATGCATTCAAGTGTAGAATATTTGCCATTCGTTCGTCCCTAAGCACGATCAAGAACTAAAGCGAAAAAATATTTTTGAAACAACGAGTCGTAGCGCGAACTCGGTGCTTAATACCGGGCACAGACCTATAGCTTCTTTGATGACTTTTTTTATTACCTCGCTTCTTTTAAATCCAACTGTTCCCGCACAACTGTCGCTATCTCTGCCCGTTCAACTTCGAATGGGTATCGCGAAAGACAAGGAAACAAAAAATAGAGGCGTAGACAGCACAAGCGCTATGCTTTCTGTGCTAGCGCTTCTGCTGTCTATGCTATAGGCTACACTGTCTACACTAGAGCTACGCCGTCTGCGCAACGCCAGTGCTTGTGCTCTCTATAGGTCTGTATCTTTTGTTGCCGTGTTCTTCGCGCTACCCATTCGAAGTTGCGCATTTTTACCAACCTGTCAAACTTGCCACACTTATCTGCTTGTTTGTTCATGCAGTCACCAACCAAGGCTTACCGCGAATGGATCGAGAAATACGGCGATGTCGTTGGGTTAGTACTTCCACCACGGTGGATTGTTTTATTTTTTGAATTTTTTCTTTTTGTAAACTATGATAGGATGAACAATATAATGAAGAAGAGGCTGCTAAAGGGACACACGTGTGGAACGCATGCTGTCCGTGTGGCATGAAAATAAGAGATGATAGTGACGTAAACCGGACGATCACTTCTACTGCAGGTGCGAAAAAAAACGTTTTATGAGCAAAAAAACAAAAATTGACGGCTTCTAGATTGCTAGCTCTGCTTGCTCGAGCGCTGACATGGGTTGGGCTAACATACTAAAAAGCAAAAAAAAAAAAGAACGCAATTATGTCTTTCAGCAGGATGTTGGATTCAGTGACCTGCCAAATATTTTTTTCAATGCTGTTCATTGTCGCAATTAAAACCTCGTTGTTGCCTTTCGACAGAAACGGAGCGTAATAAATAAATAAATAAATAAATAAATAAAAATGGAGAATATGGCTCTGAATTGTGCACGTCTGGAAACAGCGAAGCTGGACGTTTATGAAGTGTAATCAGGTTTTCCGTTGTTTCTAGGCTTTAGCTATAGGTGATGCCAGGTCGGCCACATTCTCAAATTATGGCTAGTAGATTGCCATATATCCCTCAAAAGGAATATATACAACAGCTGTATCTTGCCAGTACTTACCTATGGAGCAGAAACCTGGAGGTTTACAAAGAAGGTTCAGCTGAAATTGAGGATGGCGCAGTGAGTGATGGAAAGAAAATGATAGGTGTAACCTTAAGAGACAAAAGAGAAAAGAGTGGGTTAGGTAAGAAACCAGGGTTAAGGATATCATAATTGAAATCAAGAAGAAGAAATGGACATAGGCCGGGCACGTAGCGCGTAGACAGGATAACCGCTGGTCATTGAGAATAACTGAATGGATTCCTAGAGAAGGCAAGCGGGTGAGAAGGAGACAGAAAGTTAGGTGGGCAGATGAATTAGGGAGTTTGCGGGCACAAAGTGGCACCAGTAAGCACAGGATCAAGTTGACCGGTGGAACATGGGAGATGCCTTTGTCTTGTAATGGGCGTAGTCACGCTGATGATGATAGTGGGGATGCTATTTCGTTACTAAATTGGTTTATTGGTTTCAAGTTTTCCTTGGCTTTAGCACGGTGATACCAGGTAGTTTTCAGGCTGATTCTCTGCGCAGAGAACTTCGATCTAAACCACAGACGGTCGCAAACACATCACGGATGTCCTAACTTCATGGCCAGAAACTAGCAAAACCCGGTCACGTCGTCGTTCGCGTAGGGGTTCCATCACTTTAGGGCCTTTTCGCAGCCGCCATACTTTCCGTTCTCTTGAATTCTCTCGTCATACGTACACCGCTGAAGCAGTGCATACAGATGCTTCGGTGAAGCTGACGTGGTTAATCAGTGGCTTTATTCCGGCGGTAAATATTTTTTCCTCAATAACTGCTTCTCTCTGTCTAGAAATGTGATTTGGTGTTTGCCGCACGTCTGCTGCCTTCTTTATTTTCAGTGGGCCAGTGGTAAGTGGCGAGATTAGCCCACTTTCTGTAGCACATAGATGCATTCAAGAATTAGTTTATCGTACACTCCAATGCTTTAAAGGCTGGCTTAAACACTGTTAAAAATGGATGGCTCTCCCACACTAGAGAGTAGATGTAAACGTGAAACGGGAACCGGTAAACCATATTGGTTGGAAATGATAGCCGCTACGATACAAGCTGCAAGATGATGACGCACCGTAGCGAAATCTCTCGATGCAACCGGCCATTCGTACCGCGATACCGTTGCCTCCACGGTTATGTCAGATCACCGCACCCTTTGAAAGAGTAGAGATGTGTCACTGGCCTTTTGAGAACGAAAAGTGAGATGCCTTACAGTGTCCTTTGAAGTTTGGCTATTTATGATTGAAGATAGATATAACTATAGCAGCGCACGCAGTTGAGCTGGTTGGTCCACGATTACGGGTGAAGGCGGGACAAGAAAGAACACGAGAAAGCAGTACTGTGGTCCCATGTCCTTTCTCTTCATTTCTTTTCAGCGCTGTCTTTACTTGCAAGTAGAACTTCGGCGCACTAGAAAGTACACTTTCAGCTAGATTGCGAGGAGCCATTAAGAACTCTAAGGCAATCTTTTAGGAGTTTGTTTGGCAAACTTCTTATACTCCCACTTTGTCCGGTGGTGGCGCGTACAACTCTACAGTGATTTCAGAAATGCTCACCAGATGGCGCGCCGCAACTCTAGCCCAGGATAATGGTGCGGGATTTGTCAAAGCATCGAAGTTTAGGGACACTGATGGCAAAATAGACTTTAAACGGGTAGAAATCACCAAAACGACACTAACTGATTGGTGGCTACAATCAAGGTGGGAGTGAAATTCAATTCTTCAACCCCTGGTTACAGTACTTGACTTTATGGCTAGGCGGCATGGGCCACCGCTTGATTTAAAGGGGGCAGATGGATCCATCCAATCCGTCCGTCCGTCCATCCTTCCGTCCGTCCGTCCATCCTTCCGTCCGTCCGTCCGTCCATCCGTCCGTCCATCCATCCATCCATCCATCCATCCATCCATCCATCCATCCATCCATCCATCCATCCAACCAACCAACCAACCAACCAACCAACCAACCAACCAACCAACCAACCAACCAACCAACCAACCAACCAACCAACCAACCAACCAACCAACCATCCATCCATCCATCCATCCATCCATCCATCCATCCATCCATCCATCCATCCATCCATCCATCCATCCATCCATCCATCCATCCATCCATCCATCCATTCATCCATTGGCTGCTTGGCGATTCCAACCATGATCACTAGATGGCGCGCCGCCACTCGTGGGGACGCTTCCCACTCTCGGCACGCGCGCTTCTTTTCTCTTCAGCGGGAGCTCACGCAGTGAACACTCTCTTGAGTGTAGCTTGTTTGGTTGCTCGCCTGAGTTTTGCATGCGCAACGGTTATCCTGTCGCCTTGTCGGGATAGAGCCACAAGGTCTGTGTTGGCCCCTTCTGCGGGCTCAGCGACTCTACTCGTCGAGACGGAGGTGGCTCCCTTCCTCGTGAAAGGCTAAGCCGCTTTTAGCCGTGCTGGCTCACCAGGGTACGTTGGGTTTGCGTTGGGTACTTTGGTTGGCAGGGTACGTTGGGCTTCTGCACCAAACGGTAGTCCCGTAGTCCTCAAGGGACAGATTACGTCTCGCTGGGCCCTAGCAGTCAGGAGACGGGCCATGATCGCAGCGCGTGCCACACGCTGCGATTGCCCACCTTGCCAGGGTACGTTCGCTTTGTGCGTCGTGACGAAAGCTACTGCGCCGACGGGTTGTCCCTTTGTTAGGTCTCTCTCGCTTCTACGCCGGGAGGCAGGCCGCGTCTGTTTGGCGCCTGGCATCGAGCGGTGGCCCTTCTGTCAAGGTATGGCCGTCTGCCCAAAACAAATCTTCCCTCTCACATGACCCTGGGAGGGGGGGGGGGAGTGCCGGTACAGACGTACGAATAATGATGGGTTGATGAGTTACGTGACACTCTGGGGCAAAGTGCCTCCAAGCGCCGTGTCCCTTCCTCTCTGACGACGGCACCGCTTCCTCGCAAGACCACCTCAGAAGCCAAGGCAAAAGCGCGGTTAGCTCGCAACGTAGCTGGAGTGTGGGCTGGCTGCCATGATCCTGTGGTGAAATTGCAGGAAATATAACAACGTTGTCACGCCTATATATCATGGTAGGAGATATGTATGGAGTATTCGCTAATTATCAGATAATCTGCGAGCAAGCTCTTCAAACGTTATTCAATTTGTGGAGGTGATGTTATTTCTTTAAACTTTTTTTATCAGCGACTAGCGCAACCAATGCATTGTTACTGTACGTATCTTGTAAGATAGGTAGCGGGCTACGGGCTACACTTTCTGAGGTACGCATTCTGTACGATGGGTAGCCAGCGGGAGGCTACACTTTCTGCAGGTACGCAACCTTTACGAGAGGTAGTGAGCGAGAGTCTGAACTTTCTTAGGTACGCAGCCTTTACGATGGCCAGCAGGCCGGAGGCGACACTTTCTCGGGTACACATCCTGTGCGAAGGGTAGTGGACCGGAGACTGCACTTTCTTAGGTACACATCTTGTGCAATCGTAAGCCGGTCGGAGGCTCCACTTTTTTCAGGTATCCATCCTATACGATGGGAAGTGGGCGCAGGCTACACTTTCTCAGGTACGCATCCTGTGCTATGGGCAGTGGGCCGGAGGCTGCTCTTTATTGGTTACGCATCTGGTGCGATGATTAGTGGGCTGGAAGGTACACTTTATCAGGTACGTGTCCTATAGGGCAGGTAGCAGGCGGGAGGTTACACTTTCTCGGGTATGCATCATGTGCGATAGGCAGAGCACTGGAGGCTACACTTTCTCCAATTTTGCGTGGTTGTCCCGCGGTCGCGATTCGCTCTCTCTCCTAATAGTGCCTGCATACATCTTGGCCATTCGCTCCATGGTAAAGTGAGTAAAATAGATAAACCTACACCCGAACAAGAACAAGCTCATGTCTAAAGCGGACACCCGTTAGAAAAATACAAATTGATAAGTACAAAAACAAAATCTGGGAACAATACAGCATTGAATAATTAGAGGTAACTACGCAAACAGAACAAGGACATGTGAGTAATAAATACAATGACCATAAAATAAAGAGTAATTGTTTCAGATGTGTACAAATAAAAAAATCAGGCAGATGCAGTTTATTGACTGTAGAATGATATGCTTTCTTTAATGCTCCTCATGGTAATTGTTTAGCACTCAGCATTGCTCAGTGCTAAGTCAGTAATATTTTACATCAAAACCTCATAGCTGCAGGAGTGGCTGTACGTATACCCTAAGTAGTAGGTATATGCGGCCAGAAAATTTGTTTAAAAGAATTCTTGTATGGTTAGAGTTTAGAAACGGTGTTTTTTATAAAGCCCCAGTTGTTCAGGTGCTACCATTCAAATGAGTTTTCAAATCAAACGAGTTTTAATAGGACGAAAAGAAGAAATACATAATATAAAAATATAAAGACGAAGGTCCCAAAGTACCCAACTGCAACGGTACCCTCGGTTATGGTAACAATTGAATAAAAATAAAGCAGCAGCCAGAACTAAAATGCAAAAAGGCATACAAGAAACCAATAAACAAGAACACAGCATATAATTAGTAAACTTAGAAGCACTACAACACTAGAACTGAAAAAAACAACAGGGATACCTAAACTAGAGGAAAAAACGAAAAGACGTGCTGCCAAAACACACATAATTAGTACAATATATAGCAATAAATCTGATACGTCTAAATAAAATGAATTAATAAATTTAACAAATAATGCCTTCATGACTTTTTAATGAAATAAGAGAACTTTTACATTATAGTTATGAGGGTAAAGAGTTCCATAACGAGATCACACAGAAGTGTGAAGATGATTACTAATAGTTAGCATGAACCTTAGGAAGCAGGAAGTTGTTAGCTGCAAACTTGGTAGAGTTAGTATTAACTAAATGTTCACATTTAATGAAATTAGTAGAAAGGTAATGTGTTATTTGTTTATGTAGGGACCTAATTAAATTAAATCTAAATAACTTGCTAACAGTCAAGATGTTGTTACAACGGAGGAGCTGAGCGATGTTACTGTCGCGAGAACAGTTATAATAACGCTAAGGGTTCAATTTTGTAAATTAAGGTCCTTAAAACAAGAATTCTTCCTTCAAACTGGAATAAATTACGCAATGTTAATATACTATGTTTCTTTGTGGTGACGCACTGGTTATCGCAGAACTGGGAATGGCTTGGTTTTGGGGATACTGAAGGAGAAGAGTGTGAGATATATGGGCAGTTGTCCACGACGTAATACGGTCAGTATGACATCGTAAGTAATGATGTATGACGTCGGTAACTAAGACTGTGGACGAAGGCGTAGTTTATGTTAGGTGAAGAGAAGGATGCGTAAGCTCAATACGTTACCCGATGTTTCCTGACACCAGAGCCAAAAATGGTTTTATATTCACGAGATAGTGCATTAATTTTTCCAGTGCAAGACAAAAAGCCAGGTATTTGTTATTAGTCCACATGACCCGACTAAGGCGCATCTAAATATCTTACGCGCTTAAAATATTAAAAAGCAGTAATTGGTGCCGGCTGTTCGCCAGGAAATTGGCAAACCACCTATTGAACACCTTGCTTTCCCCGATCTCTCTGTTAGGCACTTTTACGCGGCACATAATAGACTATGCGCCTATTTGATGTTCAGCTCCGTAAATCCTGCACCTTCATGTGTCCTACGCCTGTTATGGTTGGTACTTGTTAGGCAGACATCAGGTAAGTGACCTTTTCTTATGCTACTATGATTTCAGGTACTTCAACGGCTACAGGCCTGTGGTGCTCGTAGCAGACCTGGATTTGCTGAGGAACATTCAGGTTAAAGATTTCCAAGACTTCACGGACCGAGCAGTGAGTTGCGAGCCTCGCGAAGATTATTTTCGTGGTCATTTGCGGGAACTAGGGACATCTGGACGTGGCTTCATGTCTCAGCGGCAGTAACTGCAGCCTGTCATAACTGAAGAGGAGATAAATGAGAAAAATCATATCTCTTGAAAAAAGTTACCATTAAAAACTATCCCCCGGTTATATGTACCAAAAACCCACTGTAACACTGTTGTAAAACTTCAGCATCGCATAACAAGGCGTGTGGCCTCCTAGGACTATTGAACACCACCCATATAAACAGACGGGACCCTATTATTATATATTAAGCATTCTGAGTCGCCGCGCATGCAGTTTGTGGTGCGACACTGTAACTTTGCCAGGCTGTTCGTTTTAATAGCTAGCTTTTTTTTGCCAGATAGGACTTTTTTCGTGTATTTTCCCTTCAGTTACGACAGGCCCCCCCACTATCACCGACGAGAGGGGGCGCTACGAGCAAATTTCCCCAAATCCTGGTGATGCTTTACACTAATCTTCCTATTTGATAGATTATCTGCTTTTCTTCTTGTTTGTTCTGTTCCTTTACACGTCATACAACTGCAGGCATATATACTGCAAGAAACAGCTGTTCCAGCTATAGTGAACGAGGTTCTAAAAACCTATATTAGTACAGGAAGCGCCCTCCTCGCACAGTCGGTGCGTTGGTTTCGGTTTGTTCGCACTGTGGACCGCGAAATTCGCCGGTGGGTAACTCAAACCACGAGTGATATTTTCACTTTTTAATAACTAGCCTGAAAAGCAAGTATCTCGAAAAACGAGTGTTTTAAGAAGTATTCGTGCAGTCTCAGAAAGTAATGACAGTTCAATCTTGTTCGTCCTCACTTTGCGTAAGCCAGCATATTTGTTTTTGCCTTGTGTGCAATCCTTCAGTTCTTGTTCTCTGCTAGAATTCACAAATATGTGAATTTCTCAGCTAATATTTAGATTAGTGGAGCGCCACCGAGTACACCGAAGTGCATGCGCCGCACTCATTTTAGCGTAGGCTCTTTGTAGTGATACTAGGATGCTATGGTCATAATACATTGTCAATTTTATCATAAAAAATTATGATCGACAGTTTCCTTAATTATAAATAATTGGTCAATTTCACAGTTCTTTAATCAGTCAACGTCTTTGATTATTTTATTTATTGATTAATTGATTGATCGAGAGAGGTGTGAACTTTTCCTGCGTATGTGCTGGCTTGTGAACGCCCATCATTATGACCCTAATCTGGCCAGTCAGTGTGGACGAATACGATAATGTCTCAATCCACAGCGGCCCCATTAGCTAACCAGAGCTTTGATTTCGTGCTGTAATTATCAGTCAGCTGCATCATTATATAAAGTGAAACATTTTCTAAATTTGCAGTATATTGTTAGTGTTCAAGCTGTCAGCGACAATGAAACCTATTAGGCATTTCCGATTCACATATTTCACATTAAAACATTGAATAGTCACGAAATACCGCAGGAAATATAAATTAGGAAAATATTGGCGAGGAGAAAGTTAGCTAAGAGCACCTTTAGCGTGGTTCCTCTCACAAAGTGCGGCTTCAAGCTTAGATGCTTTTCGGGAGAAAGAGAGAGAGAGAAAACTTTATTTGCGCATAACTCGGAGCATTCCAAATGGCCGGGCCCCTATTCCAGGGCTCCACTGGGCCTAGCCATCATCTCTACCCGTTGGACCAGCCAGCGCTGATCAGCAATAGCCGAGCTGGACAGCAGTGCCTCCCATTGTTCATCTGTGTTGTTCATGTTGTGGTGTTCTTCATTGGGATGTGTAAACTCCCGCGTGATGTGAAACAGAGTTGGTGTGGCCCCACACCACGGACATATATCTCTGTATGCTGTGGGGTAGAATACATGTAGCCTGTGTAAGTTTATGTATGTGTTTGTTTGGATTCTGCGTAATGCCACCGATTCTATTGCTGTGAAGTTCTTATGCGGTGCTGGATGCAGTTTTCTATTGTCCCAGTAACACTGAAGAACGGTACCAAAGTTAGGGTCTATGGGCGTTGGATCCTCTATTGCGGTGTGCAAGGAAACTCAGTGATTTGTGAAACCTCGAGCCACCTCATCCGCAAACTGGTTCCCGGTGACGCCCTCGTGCCCTGGAGCCCAGATAATGGTTTGGGTGTATTCAATTGGGAAGTCCTTGTGAGCTTTGGTTAGAATTTGGAAGGCCTTCATACATATTCTACCTTTTTCGTAATTTCTACATGCAGCCTTCGAGTCTGTGATTATTGTCATTGGGGCTTTTCGCTCGCTGCCCTCCTTGATTGCCAGCGCGATCGCTATCTCCTCCGCTTCTGTGATAGAGGCTTGGGCTGTGGAGGCACAACTTGTAACGTTTCCTTTTCGGTCTGTGACCATGACCACCACGTTCTTTGCATTTGCCTGATATGGTGCAGCGTATGTAAATCTCGCCGTATTCAAATATTTTGTCTTTTTATCTATGTAAGCAGCTCTTGCTAAACGTCTTCCAGCACGTAAAACAGGGCCCATGTTCTTCGGTGGGGGACATATCTTGTACCAGGCTCTGACTGAGCATGACAATTCCTTAGCTCTTCCATGTGCCTGTACTTGTTCACCGAGGCCGTTCCTCTGAAGAAGTTTTCTGCCGGTTGGCGTCTGTAGCAGGCGGTTAACCTGGTGGTTACTTGCGCCTCAGCCAACTCATCAAATGTATTGTGAAGTCCGAGCACTAATAGCTTCGCATTTGAAGTGCTTTGTGGTAGTCGCAGAGCCGCTTTATACGTCATCCTTATTATTTCGGCTGCTTTTTCTTTCTCCTCTCTATTCATGTTGTGGTAGGGTAGTGAGTATGTTAGTCTGCTGATGACTAAGCTCTTTACCAAACGAAGCGCGTTTTGTTCTTTCCGTCCAGCACGATCGTTTGTTATTCGAACTATCATACGAACAATTTGTTGAACTGCTCGTTTAAGCATAATCAGTGTGTAGAGACATCGCTGATTGGACTATCACCACATCCCTAAGATTCGAATGGTCTCTTTCTCTGGAATAATATTGCCATCTAGCTTGACCTCAAGGCGAAGGCTCGGGTCTGTCTTTTGTTTTGTTTTTTTGCTCTTGGAGAACTGCTTTTCGGGAAGTCACACAAAATGTAAACCTTGTTCTGAAGAGCCGCCAGATGCCTAAACGGTGGTTTTTTCCGCATGTCTAATATGTAACTAAACACTGCGGAGGTTTTGTACAATCTTACTGTAATTTTGTCTTTTGGTAACGTACGGCGCCTATGGGACATTCATAAGAATTCTTGTATAAATGTTGTTCCAAAACATTTGGAACGTTTAGGTCGGATGCCTTCAACAAAAGACAGGGAATTAGCATTTTCTTTATAAGACACACATTCGGATGAGCTGTTGGTTTTGGTTCGGGTTACATCACATCTCACTTAGGCACCTTTATCACAGTGCTAAAGATGTGACTTATACTTTGGTTCATATGAACATAAAGCTATTGTTGGCGCTTACAGCAAAAAAAAAAAAAGAGGGGAGGGGGTTGCTTTAATAAAAGTTTGTGATGACCAGCTCTAAGCCACTTCCCCACGTTTTTTCCTCTCAGCTACTGTTTCAGGCTAAGCGACCGGGCAGTCCTCAGAACAAGGGCCTTCTGCAGCTCACCTCGACGCGTTGGAAAGAAGTTCGCAGCGTGCTCACTCCTTCCTTCACTACGAGCAAACTCAAAATGGTGCGTTTTTTTTTTTTTGCGTGGAAGCGTTCATCGGTTCGCCCGTTCTTGCGCAATATTACTAAGATACAGTGGTTACATTTTATTTAAGTTTGTTGACTAATGTTAAATTTATAGGTAACAATATAATGCACGGCATTTGTGCTTTCCATCTGGCCACTTCGCTATGGATCACGAGAAGATATACGTATTTAAACATAAAATTCGGTGCGCTAGGTGGAATTGTACAATAAAGGGAAGAAATCAGTAAAGATAGAAGTGAACAGAAAAACGAAGCAATGACGTGGTCTTGAAAGCGCGAGCACAAGTGGAAGCTTTACGTAAAACGCGAAGGAAAAAGCACTAGGCTGCGCAGAAGCAGGCACACAGGAGAACTCGACTTCCTGCGCAAGTTGAAAGAAAAGGACAAGAGAGACAGGAAATAGCGCAGTAGTCTGCAGAGAAGCATTGCTACGCAAGAAAAGCAGTGTATAGAAAGCACATGCCTACCGGATTAGAATTAATTTCTTCGTAATTCACATTCAAAAACTATAACGTTCGGTAGTTTGGCTGAACGGAACATTGAATTTTTTTTTACATTTTAATCCGCAAGTGTATCAAGGCAGCCTTCGCTTCATTTCGACTTTCTGCTTGGGACAGACAGACAGACAGACAGACAGACAGACAGACAGACAGACAGACAGACAGACAGACAGACAGACAGACAGACAGACAGACAGACAGACAGACAGACAGATAGACAGATAGATAGATAGATAGATAGATAGATAGATAGATAGATAGATAGATAGATAGATAGATAGATAGATAGATAGATAGATAGATAGATAGATAGATAAACATGCAGAGCATAGCAGGGGAAAAATATTTTTTCTTTTTTCTCACTACATGTTTCATCGAACCCAAGCTTGCGGCCGAATATTGCGTGGAATTACCCTCGTATTCAGAAACCTTTCTTGAGTGGAACTTGACTTGCCACCGCCTTCAATGCAGCGCGTTTAAATTGCGTTTGTGCTACCTTGGCGCCGCCTAAAACACCACGTTTGAAACGCGTTTCTGCGGCATTCTTCAAGCTGGTGGCAAGTCAAGTGTTCTGCATACGCCTGTCATTGACGAAGGGTAAGACGATCTTGAACGGTGCCGCTCGGTATCGCAGATGTCTCCGGGCGTCATCTCGGCTGTGGAGAAGCTGGTCTCCAAGGTGGACCGCAAGGCGGCATCCGGAGAAGAGTTCGAGGCTGGCGAGATGTACGCCGCCCTTGCGTTGGACGTGATTTGCAAAAGCGCCATGGGCATCGACTACAACCTGCAGGACCAGCCACGTCACGGCTTTCTCATCTTCTGCCGAATGCTGTTCGGATGCGCCTTCTCCTTCATTGCTGTTATTCTTAGTGAGTTCGCTCGCACCCTCTACTTCTTGAAGTACTTTCACAAAAAGGGACTCGATGTTAGCTGCTTTTCCGGAGTTGCCATGGCGTTGTTCTAATGTCTGTCAGCACTTCCGCGCACTGCGGCTGTTTTATCTTTTTTTTAATTTTCTGTTTCACTGCATTTATTCAATTATTTAATGCAAGAAGTGCGAGTACATTTTTATTGGAGTAGTGAGGAATGTCAGAGTGTCAGAGACGTAAAGGAAGACCTCCTGTAAAAACTTATCACCCCAAAAAGTATACGTTAATTATACTGCAGATGGCCGATTGTTCGCAAATAGTAAATAAAATTTGTGCAAGGCACCAAGGCAGGTAAATTACATAAAAGGTACTAGAATACTGCAGATATTTTATAAGTTAAGGTTACATTTATCGTAAGTAAGTGCACAACTTGAGTTCAATAGATCCAAGAGCAGAATATCTGCTCAGCTTATTTGGGTAATATTTTAGTAGCAGACAGGTTTAAGCAGACCGATAGTACTTTCGGAGCGATAGTAAAACTGTGATCATTATCTACCAGTGTGCTCAGCGGCGAAGCCGGCGCCCCTAACAGTGTGGCCCAGCTCTTTTTCAGTGCGTTCACGGGAAGTGCCAAGAGAGACGCCAGTGTTCTCAGCGCAAACCAGTGCCAAAAGACGCACTGGTATTAGGTTTGGTTTACTCGAAATTGCGCTGGTTGTCGCAATAGGGACGTACCCTCTTCATCATCTTCAGCTTCGTTTCCAGAACACGTGGGCCGAAAGAGAGAGAAATAAAGAGGAAAGGCAGGAAGGTTAATTAAGCTTGGATCGGTTGGCCACCATGTGTGCCGAAGATATAATTCTCATGGGTGACAGAACGAGCGGGGAGACAGAAGAGAGAGAGACAGGGAAGAAAGACTGAATAAGAGATAAAGCCACAAAATGCAAAGAGAAGCCACACGCAGAGAAAGGAATACAAGTAAACAGACAGAAAAACGAGATAGAATAAAGAGAGAGCGAAAGAGAAAGAAAATGAAAAAAAAAATCAAAGATTGCAAAAAGTAGTGATATGGATTAAAAGAAAGAAATATATATAAAAAGACGAGAAATAGAAACAGGTAGAAATAGGAAATACAAAAACAGAAAGAAAAGAGAAAAAAGGGGAGGAAGAAAGACAAATAAAAACAAACAAGGAAAATTCAGGCCACCCAGATTTGCCTCCCTCCCCCATCCTTCACGCTAAGCACCACTACGGTGACGCTGCCTTATTAATAAAAAATTTGCATGTAGGTAATGACCATGATGATGAACAACTTATTTTTGTCCAGAGAAGACGGTAAGTTTTTCCATATTGAGCACAGTGTGTCGTAATTGAGCTTCCCTTTGCGCTTGCAAGTCTAGCATATTTTACATGTTTTTAAGCAGCGATAGTGCATCTCACAATAAAAATCATTGGTGTTCTCTTTTCCTTAGTTCCCAGCGCCAAATGTGCACGTGCAGAATTTTATATTTTTTTTTTCATTCGAGAATATTACTTTTCTTGACATAAGGTACACGGTATCGATGCAGATACGCACACAAGGGCAGCGATCAAGACAACACAAATGGCAATTACCAACTACAGAGGTGCCCTGCCGCGAAGAAGGTTGTAGATACAAAACTTATCCGCGCGTGCGCAGGCACGCAGCGCTACCTGTCTACACGACACTCATAGAGGGCCTAGAAGAGAGATGACTCACCGGGTATTTATTTAAATTCTTACGCATGACTAGTGATCTCTCACGTTGGCCCCCAAGACTGCCGAAATGAGCGGTAGCTCTGCAAACGATAGCATTTGCATGAATACTTTAGACGGGTTCTTGCCGTCCCCGTAATGCTTGGTGTATGGAGTCCAGATCAATAAAATGATTGAACGATGGGTGAAATTGTGCGAGCGAGGGGGTGATGAACGCGGCTGAGTCGGAGATCAAATTAACTGGTTGTTACCACCTAAAGGAGCACCGTTGCGATAAGATAGCACTGCGAGCAAAGCCTGCCTTCCATTGCTTCTCAAGCAGAGAGAAAATGCGCCGTGCCTGTCATTCCTATATGAAGGCGCACGGACGCCGGAGGAGGGAGGAAGGAAGGGCTGCGTTGCTCGAGCAGCAAGCGTCAACTTTGACCATTAGGGCATGGACCCGAGCGCTGGCGCACGTGTTATCTCGGCAGACGCAACTAAACGTCATATGCACCACTAACAATAGGAGAACAACAACAACAACATAAACGGCATGTACGCGCTTCTACGTGCTGTACTACATTCACTGCTTCGCATTGAGAGAACAGACTGCACGAAAACAGTTTCCTTCACTGGAGCGGCATATTCCTTATACGCAAGAGTTTTATTGCGGAGCTGTTAAAGGCGTGCTCAAACGGGCTAAGGATCGCCCGCATATGAATTTAAACTGCTCGAAAAAGTCAAGGCCTACGAGGATGGAAACACGCACACACAATGAGCGCGGAAGAATAGCATGTTCTTGGTACAGTTGGGTCATCGATTCAGCAGACAAATTAAAACTGCTTGAAGAAGATAACAGGTAAGAACAAAGAAACCCGCACTACTTCATGCGTAGAATAGGCATGTATGGTACAGAATAGTATGCATGGTTATGCATGGTATGGCGTAGAAAAGGTAGGGTGGGGGAGTAAGAGGGAAAGGAGAACGAAGAGTGTAGAATATGTAGCAGAGGTGAGTAAGGGTGATTGCGTTAAAGGTTGCAGGTATGCAGTTAGATGCGCCTTCATTGTTAAACCATGCCCCTGTTCGTCTGACTTGGCTTATGCTCGACTGACCTTGACTTTGATAGCTGAGGCTTCCCTTCAGCTCCGTTGAGCATTAGCCTCTACGACGTCGAGTCAGTTAAAGCCGCCCACAAATTGTAGAGTTACGCCAGATTGGATGTGAAAGAGTTAGCTGTTAACATTTCTTCGTACAACTTGACAATTTGTTGCTATCGCATTCATTGGTTCACGTCAGCAGTGAAGCTATGATTTCTTTTACTTCGGAGCTAAAGCAAGCCCCGAAGTAAGTACCAAGTATAGACCAGCAAACAGTCTAGTTAAAATGTGTTATTGACATAGTGTGAAGCCCCCGCCATCATACAAAAGCCGAGGCATGTGGAGCGAAAAAGTTGCGTCATCTACGAGAGTGTGCAGATGGTTAGGTTCCACGTTGGAGCTCGCAATGTCAAGGCCATGCTCGCTCCGCAGCCGCTCTCTCTGTCTTTCGCGTTGTCGGGAAATCAGCTGGCTAAGACTGCTTCGATGCAGCAGGTTGCCATGCACGTTTGGCTGCGTTGTGACGTTTTCGTTGTTCGGGCCCTGTGAGCTCAATCAACAACGCACTCATAGATGAGTCATGTCCTCAAATTCACAAATTCAGATATTAAATTGTTTATAGCCTTCAATTTTGAAAACATTTTTTTCTTTTTGCTTTCAGGCGCGTTTCCGTCATGGGAGTCTGGCCTGCGGTTTATCAATTCTCACTGGCTTCGACACAAGAACGGCGGTGTCCACCCTTTCATCGACGTGCAGGAGAAGTGCAAACGCATTGTGACACAACGCCAACAGGACTCCTCGGTACGAAGGGTTGGAGACAGTAGGAAGGCACTATCGCTGTTCAGGAAAATGATGCATACGAATACGCATTGATATTGCTAACAATTGTCATTAGTAGCTTTACATATTTGTTCAGGTTCTCAATATTCAAGGTGCCGCTACGAACGAAGCTGCAAAAAAATACTGATCGTCAGATATCATTTTTTTCAGAACGAAAAATAGCAGAATTGCATACAAACACAGCAGTATCCTTAGCCAATGTATTCTTGGCACGACAGTGAACGCCACTGATTACATATACGTCACGTACCGTATACCGCATACCTTTCTCCCACATGTGCACAATGTAAAGAACATGAATTCAGTTGCTGGAAAATATTTAAGGATGAAGAAGTTTCAGGTGAGCCAAGCGTCTCGAAAGGAAACAAAACAGTGAAAATATCGTGGGGTCTCACAATCCTCAATCACAAAAATCGCATTAGGTACTTTTTAGTTGAATGGTCGTGCGTCGTTTTCTTGAACTATATATTATACATTAGATCCTGACTTCATACGCATTGCGATTCACCTTTTTATTTTGCTCTGAGCAGCTTCGCCAGAAGGATCTGCTGCAGCTAATGATAGACGCAAAGGACGCACACGTCGATCTGGATGCCGTCACGTCAGCCCAGCTAACAGCCGCAGAAGACAACGATCGGGAATTGCAGAAGAATGGGGCTGGAGGTAAGGCTTGACTGCTTTTATGAGAACCGTTTTCGTGAGAACATACAACCAAAAATTACTTGTCATTCACGCTCTGGTAAAGTCAATATCAGGCGAATCTTGAAAATCATCTCTCTATGTGCTGAAGGGTGTATGCAACACTTAATTCCTTTAGTGTGACTTCAGTATCAATTAGTTTGTGGTCGCGTTGGGCACGTCGATGTGTTTTTGTTTTCAGCCACTTTCACATAATTCCTAGCCAAGGCCACATTCCAAATGGAATTTGGGAATTGTACAGCGTGGTTCATTGATTGGGGTCGTTGCACATGTGAGTACAGTTGCCCCCTGGCGACAGGATTTGCCCAACTACAGGACGCCGGCATTAATGCCACCTACAATAAGCCCTGATATTTTTAAATAGAGGCAGCACTTGAAGGCAACAGCATTGAACGACCACCTGTGCAACCCTGTGCGGTGTGTGTGCGTTTGGAAATGTGACTTTTTTTCTTCTCTGTATTACTTCCTTACGTCCCTCCCCATACCTGCATACTTTTCCTATATTCCCTCTTCTCTCCCTCTCTCTCTCTTTCTCCATATATTTATTGGCAGACACTTTAATAACTGTAGCTGCCGCCGCAACGCAGCTTGCGGCGGCCTCAGCAATCTTTATCGGCAAAGCGTGTGCAGAAAGAGCTGACTCCTCAGTATGCCTCATCTAAATTATATGGTTCAGATGCTTGTCTCTTTCTTATTCTCTTTAGGTGAATCATGCAATTTGAGATAATTATTACATTACACCATTACTATAAATTAAGTCTTACAAACAACTGTCGAAGCATCAGTGTTTGGGTTATTTAACGTGCACCCAAATCTGAGCACACAGGCCTACAGCATTTTCGCCTCCATAGAACATGAAGCCACCGCAGCCGGGATTCGATCCCGTGTTCGGCGGGTCAGCAGCCGAGTACCTTGGGCACTGGACCACCGCAGCGGGTCTGCAAGTTTAAATCTTCACTGAAAAGGTTTTGTTTTGAAGCTACGTATGTGGTTATTATGCAGCAATATAACTCGCACCACAACTTAAAGAGGTACTGACACAAAAACCTTGGCGTCGCGTTTTTCTTCTGCAATGCGTTGCTGGGGGCCTGTTAGTCATGACACGACACATCGTTTGCTGCAGCACGCGAGAGATAAATAAACACTGGACCCTCATTATCAATCAGTTTCAGTTTCGGTTTGAGAGAGTTTCAAAAACTGGGTGCAACTGTTGCCACCTAGCATGTGCAGCTCTTGACCACGTCAGCACACGCAACGGTGATGCAGGTGATGCACTTTCACGTGTTCCGCATAAAGAATTATTTTCGAATAGAAAACGCGACTGGAATATCGCCTAACATGTAACTTTCTAAGCGTGCGCCACGACCACGCACTAGCAACCAGCCGCCGAGGAATATAAACTGTGGAAACTGAAACTAACGTGGCAAAAGAACACTGCAAAAGCCTGTTATTGGCTTAATATATAGGTGTTCTTTTAACATCTGATAGTGCACAAATACTCGCTATTCCGCACGTAAGTTATAAAACCGTTCGCTGGTTTGTGCAGGAGGGGCCAGACGCGACCTGTCTGTCTTCAACAAGGCCGTATTGGACGATGACGACATCACGCAGAACGCTTTCGTCGTTCTTGTCGGAGGGTAAGTGACCAATGTAACAAATGATGTGCTGAGAGCGTTTGCATGTCGTCAGCGTATACGACACTCGGTCGCACTCGCACTACTCGCAACTCCAACAACTCACTACTACACCTACTACTAGTCCCACTGCACCCGCCGCCACTTCAGTGATTCATTTTTCATGTCATGTCCTTTCCACTTCACTTCATTCCTAGTTCAATTCAACTCCACTGTGTGTCATCAGCTTCGCTGTTTCATAAGTGTGCGTCAAGCGAAGCTGGGCACATTTTTGTTTTCGTGAGCCCCACCCTTTGACGTTGTCCCTCACCTATTGGCCGCAGGTTCGAGACCACGAGCAACACAATGGCGCTGGTGACGCATATGCTTGTGCACCACCCAGAAGTGCAAGAGAAAGTGCGGGAAGAGCTGCTGTCAGTCGTGGGACCCGACGTAAGTGTGGAGCTGGGTTGATGCTCGAATAAAAAAAGAAGACACTCAATGACAGTCATGCAAATACGAGCACAAACTTTCAAAACATTTATTCTTCTAAGCAATATGCGTTAGTTACTACAAAAATAGGTTTTATTGAGCTGAGTTCTCTACTTGTAGTGCTGCTGGCGCAGACACGTGATGCGGGATGATGCTTGTCGAGAAATAACGTCCTAGAGCGCTTACGAAATTTCTCAATACTATCGGTTGCCGAACAGACTATGCGTGTAGCATTAGAACGTTCAGGTTCATTGATTTGACGAAAAAGTCAGCTCGGCTGTTTGGACTTCGACGTCACATGTTGCAAAACACAGATACCCACGTCCACCAGCATCATACAGCCCCCCCCCCCCCACTCCCACACACACATTGCGCCCATATCACGCTCACAAACGATACGGGATGTTCATTACTGGGCTCAGCAAAAAAAAAAAAAAGCCATGGGAGGCCTCTCGTAGGCTCGTGTTGAATATTGCACAAACGATACTGCAATGTATTCTTTTCCAAATAAACGAAGATATCCTTGTTGAAAGGCATTGCGAAATTGTTTAGTAATTCGTGTACTAGGACCAAAGAGATAGAAGATAAAAAAATATGCTAGGTAATGCAGCGAAGTTAACGAGATACACCTCCGGTTTTACCCGTGCACCAGAAGAAGGAATAAATGGGCGAAAATACCAAGAATATGAACGGAATCCCGTGCCCAGTTGTGAGAGCACTTCAAGTCTACAGGTCGTCTCACAGAGCTTTTGAACACTAAGTTCTTCGTTAGTTATTTCATTAACTGTCTGTGCTCTGTGCCTTCAAGGGACACGTCCATAGTACAGGAATCTTGACTGCGGAAATCGGTATTTTGTTGACTTCACTCACAACCATCTTGAGGGGGCATCGCTCGGTATGAGCGAGCGCAGTTGCACAGATCGTTTTCCAGTCATCTTTTCGGTTCCGCACGAATCGCATGTAGTGTTCTCAATCCTTCTGATACGAAATCAGTACACACTTTGTGTCTCGAAAACAGTGGCATTCTTGGCCGATATGAACTCATTTGTTTCCCCTTTTTTTGACATGACAACGATTATGTGATTGTAGACTATTATATTGACAATTATGAGACTTAAGTGTATGCATTGGTTACTCTCCAGTTAACATCACTGCATATGCACATACTAGGTGTACAAAGTCAAGCTTTATAATTTTTTATTAGGTGCTCAAAGGACACGTCCGAACCACTTGTGCAAACAAGTTAAGCGGTCAAGAGGACAGAAAGTTAGATGCTAATCATTGCTGTCAGCAGCCTAATTAACTAACATTTAATGATTAACTTTCTAAGAGCTAAGGCAAGTTGGCTTGTTTATATTGAAAAAAATATAGGCATAGGTGTTTGTATGCAGTTTGAGGAGGAGGAATAAACTTTATTATAAGAAACCAGCAGGTTTAGGTGGCCGGGCCTAGGCCTCCCTCGAGGGGACGCCAAGGCTTGCCTTCGACACCGCCTCACGGGCTTGCTGGGTCGCCCAGGTTTTGTCGTCAATAGCGAGGCTCCGCAGAGACCTCATGAAGCTTCGACGAAAGGGTCGTGGCTTTAGTGTGTCAGTACTGTGCCGGGCACTCCCACAGCATGTGCGGAAGCGTAGCCGGGTGAGTGCCGCAGTACCAGCAGTGGGAGATTGTGTACACAGTCCGAGAATATGAGGTAAAAGCGGGCAGGTGAGGGATGCGAGTTTGTTTGAAGTAGGACGCAAAGTGCTGGCCTATGTCCCGGTTGAGCTTGGGGTGAGGTGGGGCAAAGGCTCGGCGTCTGTAGGTAAAAGTTCTTAACCAGATCATTGTAGGTAGTGAGGTTGTCCATGGTGTCCATCTCGTCTCCAGTAGCTCCAGCGCGGTTGACAAGGCCTCGCGCAAGGGAGTGGGTGATCTCGTTGAGGTTGGGGAAGCGTGGGTGGACTGGGCCCGCGTGAGCTGGGATCCATGTCAGGTTGATCATGTTTTCTTTGGAGTGCAGTGCCTGGCACAGAAGCCGAAGCGCTTGAGGAGAAATGCGGCCTTTGCTGTAGTTAGTGACGGCTGAGCGAGAGTCGCATACGATGGTGTTACAGGTGGGATCTAGAGTGGCCAGGGCGATGGCCACATCTTCAGCCGTCTCGGCAGAGGAAGTAGTGACGCTGGTTGCATGGTGTAGGACTCCGTTGCGTGTGGCGACAGCTACAATACAGTGTGCCTTGACGATACTGAGCTGCGTCAACAAATGTGGCGCCAGGTGCGTGGGCAAGGGCTTTTGTAATGGCTCCAGCGCGAACTTGGCGCCGGACTCTGTTATACTCAGGATGCATGTTTCTAGAGATGGGATCCGCGTGGATCCAGCTGCAGATGTTATGCGGAATTGATTGTTCGGGGCACTGTGGCTAATGATACGTGAAGCCAAGCGTGGAGAGGATAGAACGTTCCGTTTCAGTGAGTGTGAGCCGTTCTAGCTGACTGCGTTGTTGGGCTTCGATGAGTTCTGCGAGGGTGTTGGGAATTCCCAGTTGATTGAAAAGTTCAGTGCTGGTGTAGTGCGGGAGGCCAAGTGCTTGCTTGTAGACCTTTCGTATGAGGGTATCGAGTTTGTTTTGTTCTGCAAGATACCAGTTCAGATAAGCAGCAACGTACGTGATATGACACAGGACAAAATACATGCACGAGGTGGAGAAGGCGCTCTACTTCTTCGGTTGGATATACGTTTAAGAAGACGTAAGGTGTTGTGAGTTTGAGCGGAGATCTTGCTGTGAGCCAAGTCGTTAGAGCCATTGGCTGATATAGCGAAACCGAGAACCCTGGATACTAGGGACGTGCGGGATAGGGCTGCCATCTTGAAGGTGAAGGGTGATGGTGTAACAGGGTTTTTGCTCATGTAGGTGTTTAGGGGGGGGGGGGGACATTCCCGCTGAATGGGCTTGTAAAGAAGCAGCTCCGATTGAGCCGGTTAACAGTGCAGTCCGGTTCTTTGGAGATAGGCCTACACAGTTTCAGTTGGAAGATTTTTTCTATCACGTTTGTGCTCTGAGATGTCCGGCTCCAAAGTTTGTCTTTCGCATGATTACGCATGCAAGAGGGTGAGGGTCAGTGCAAAGCTCCTTGCTAAAGTGACGCCTCTGTTGTGTGTGCTATTTAGTGTGTGTATAAGTTGGAAGCGTAGGCATAAGTGATAACAGTTAACCTTGCCCTCTCGGCCATCGAAATCAAAAATCGAAAAACCCTTGCAACCAAAGTTGCAACACGCAACTACAGAGCCTCCAACGATAGTCGCGGATACCATGCCGAGATAATTGTGCGAGCGGAGAATTTGGATGCCAGTGCGCGTGCGTATAATAATGGCTAGAGAAGTGCTGCGTGGTCATTTCCTGAACTACGTGAATAGCGTGACTGCTGATGTGCGAGTAGTGTAACTTTTATTGAAATCAAGAGCAACAACTCCACCAATAATAACTGAAACAGTTTTATCCTATAGCTAACAGCATATTTCCTGCTGCCACATAAGCTTATTTCTGTCATGCACAAATCTCATCAAAACTCTTCACCTCTCAAGACATCAATGCCACAAAAATTGTCCGAAATATCTGCCTTCGGCCGGAACGCAAAGTGTGAACCACTCTCGCGTCGACTGAATGACTCGGGCACACTACTTTAGCAAGAATACTCGCAGAGGCAGATGTTATTCTGTCTTTCATGCCAATAACATTGCTGGTTCTGATACGTAAACTCGATCTTCAACGTATCCTCAAAGGAAAAAGCTGAGCGTATAAAGCTCAGGACATCTTGGTGGCCAAAAAATCGCTCCTGCGTGCCCAATCCACTGTTGTAGAAAACGTCTGTCCAACCTAGTTCTTCGCCCTGGTAGAAAAATGTGGTGGTAGTCCATCTGTGCTGAAACCACACTTGCCGCAGGTCATTCAGGGAAATACTGCAGACAAGGTCATCAATGACAACATCAAATATTTCTTCTGTGTAGATCTTTCCGTTCAAGTTGTCCTGAAACAGTGAGGTCTGATGATAGTGTCCCCGAGTATGCCAGCACCACACATTCATGCTCCAGCAAACTAGACTGGTTGTGCTGCCTCAACCAGTGTGGGTTTTCTTGTGCCAATAATGGGTGTTGTGAAGATTACCACTTCCATTTCGGTAAAGCCGAGCTTCATCAGTCCAAACTATTCTGTGCAAAAAGTCACCTTCTTGATCAGTTTGGATGAGGCCCAAATTCCAGAAGCCAACTCGCCTTTCGAAGTCCGCCTCATAAGGTCCTGATGAAGATAAACGTGATATGGACGGGACATGTGCTTTCTTAGAACATTTGTGACTGTCCCGACGCTTCGACCGCACTGATCGGCAATCTGCCCGATGCTGAGCGCTTGCTTTGAGGTTGTAGCGAGAGAGGAAGACGGGACGGCGGCCAACGTGGTCGTGTCGTTCTCTCGCCACATTATTTCACGCCTGAAGCGGAGCCGCGTGGCTTTCCACGTCCGACACACCAAGTGCGCTAGCTTGTTCTAATCCTCGCGCAGCTCGAGCTAGCATCAGCTGCGCGAGAGGTGCAGCGCGGTGATTGAGAAAATGATGATGGTGGTGATGGCACTACAAGGTCACGCAAGTGACAACGTCGGTTTCAAAGTCTTCGTCGACGATTGCCTTCGTGGTCCGTCTTTGAAGGAGGACAGAACCTGCCGTGCAAAAGTGTCGAAATAGATTTGTGAAAGTGGGCCTTGTTGGAAGGGGACGGTGCGGGTGGCGAGACGCGTAAAGCCCCATTGCTGACAAAGCGTTGCCAATGCAAGCACCACGTCTACTGTTTCTTTGGTAGAATACCTCGGGCCAGAAGCAGCCATACTAGCTCGAAATGATTGCACGTGGATTTCTTTGGTAGACCTTCAATGCAGAGAGGATGTGCTACTGCAGAAGCTACCGCAGAAGCACAAGAAGATGTCTCC